TATATATATATATTATTATTATTATTATTATTATTCTTATTCTTATTATTGTTATTATTTTGAGGATTAGCTGGTTCTGAAATCCCAGGAAATCCTGTGTTTATGACACAATTAGAGAGTTCCTGTTGTCCAACTCAACAGGTACAAAAATGGTTTGTGAAGCAGCCTCATGTGTTTTATATTTTGTTGCCAGTTTAAAATAAAATTATTCAGGTGCACGCCATATTTGGTCATATTTTAAAGAAGCTGTAAAAGATCCAGGATTGTCTGAGTGGTGCTGGACAATAACTGTGTTTCTGTCTCTGCAGCATCACTTCTGAAAGGCCTGAAGCATGCTAACATTGTCCTCCTCCATGACATCATCCACACCAAGGAGACCCTGACTCTGGTCTTTGAATATGTGGTAAGTTTTCTGACAGGTGCAGTAAAGAACTCTGAAGGTGGAGGGAACATGTGGGTTTTTGATTTTTATCCCACTTCCAAAGTTAAAGGAGCTGTGGATGATTTGATTGAAAAACATTTGGTTAAAATTTGTTTGGAGAATTTAAAGGCTCCACACTTCTATGTCAGCCAGACTGCACAAASCTGCACAAAGGAAACACCTATCAAAATTTAATAAACTTTAAACTACTGTTCTGCTACATTTACACTTTACACTTTATTTATTACATGCACATTTTATTTTGATTGCGCACAAATATCTAACCAGCTGTAATATAAAATAGAGTTATTAAAGAAGACTTGTTGAAGTTCAAACTGAATGAAGAGATTTTAAATGTGGCCTAGTACTTGGTACCAGACTTGCTGAGTGTTTCAGAAACTCCTGGGGCCTCGTGTATAAACAGTGCGTACGCATAAAAAAGTTACGTGCGCCAGGTTCTACGCCCACGTTGTGATATATAAAAAACAACGTTGCGTGAAAATGTGCGTATATTTACGCACACTTTTCACATGCTGTGAGAATGTGCGGCAGCCACGCAAAGTTTTTCAGTCGACAGTTTTAACCCACAAAGTCATGAATCTGACCTGAATCCACAGAAATATGACTTTGTTGTGTTTTCTGGATGTAAGGAGCGTCTGAACACGGTGTCAGATTTTTATTTTATTACGCAGTACGTGCGGCATAAAAATAATAATAAAATTAAAAAAAGGCTGAAGAGATGGAGCAAAATCGGATGCAAATGGTGGCTCACTGTATGGTAAGAATAATTATTTTTTCTGTATGTAGCCTTCTGGCTGATGCTGAGTTGAGTTGTGGCCGTAGCGCAGCAGCTGCGATTTGGGTAGATTCTCGAGCCAGGCGCGCGCACCCTCGCCAGCTGGGAAGGTGTTCATATGTGTCAACCCCTTTGGACGTTTACCTGTCTAATGAGCCTCAAAAATCTATATTTTTTGCTAAAAATCCGTAAGCTACCACTCGTACCCGCTCGTGGCGGTGGGGGTCTGTGGAGAAGACGGCGCCTGATGTAACGCAGGAGGAAAGGAGAGAGGAAAAAGTGGATAACTTGATGTTTTTTCATGTATTTATTTTAACTTCTGTTCAACGCCGTGTTCAACTAAATAGACAACAATATATTGAACATCACATTCGGGAGATGTCTGTAAATTTCAGKAAAATTTCAGGCTTTGGTTATCCCGTGCAAATGCGCCACATAAAACAATGACACCCCACTACTTATTTAGAGTTTTCTCACTCATTCTCCATTTAATTTATATTTTTCCTYCATCTAAAAATCATTTCTGATCCCACAGAGAGGACAATCTGAGCAGAATCTCACACGCTGGACATATTTACATCTATTTTACATATTTAAATGGAGGCGTGTCAGGGGAGGTTTCTCACATGCGTTCATTGGGATGTATAAAGGAAAGCTGCTCAGGAACCTGTGTGCGCACATTTTTATACATCTGAATTTTTTGGTGCGGTGCACTTTTCTAAATTTTTCCGTACGTCAACTTTCAGTGTGAAAGCTGTGCAATCCTTTATGCATGAGGCCCCAGGTCTACTGAGAGTCTCATCTCTGAGGCTTAAAAAGACGGTTTGAAAAAGAGGAACTATTGTTTTTATTATACTTTATTCTACTTTTATTAAACTGGCGTATTAAGCCTCGTTAATGGACAGACTGGTTGGAGATGACAGAAAGGTGACAGAAGTTTACAAAAATCACTTGTTACAAAAAAACAAACTTTCTCTGAGCACCCAGCATGTTTGAGTTAAACAGATGAGCTGCAGCAGACCACAGCAGGTCCTCCAGTCAGATAAAAACTAAACTAGACCAACAGAGGCCTCGTGGCAAAGAGTGCTCAGTTCTCATAATAAAAGTGGCCGTTTGCACGAAACTGGATAAGTATGTAAATCTGCAAAACCTCACAAATAAACAGTACTATGTGGTAAATGTTCATGTGTATAGGAATACTCATGAAATACTTATAAAAGTTATTGTTATTTGGAGTATGCAAGTTTCCAGCATGAGAGAGCAGCCAAAAGAAAATCATTAAAACCATAACCAACAACCTAGGAGAGGATAAATACTTTTAGAACTCGGTGTGTAAAAAAAAACACTTGAAGCTGAGAGCAGTTCAGACATTTTTCATCTCTCTTTCTGTTGTTTTATTCCTGCCAGGAGTTTCTGAGGTCACATTTAAATTCAGGTCAAATCTTTGTTCTCGATGTGCTGAGCGCAGCGTAATCCTCCCACCATCTTACTCAGCTTTCCTGCTGGACTGCCTTTAATGAGGGGGAGGGCTGCTGGAAGCCCCCTGTGCTCTGAAGGTTTAAAGTGTGAGCAGGACTCAGCAGGTGATGTTTAAATGAACACTGAGAGGAAAAGATTAGCTGAAGAGTTTCTACAGGAACATGGGTTAATCTCTTCACAGAATCCTCTCCAGTTTCACACGTTTCCACTGGAGCTGACTGGACTTTGCTTTGTTTTTTTAGCTATTTTAAAAGCCCTCATTTCTGAGGCACACTTATTCAATTTGCTGCTTTTGTTCAGCTTAAAATAAACAATAAATACATCAAAATGTGTGGTTTCATCAAGAACACTCTGCCATGACTTTGGTGAAAGTTTTTTCTATAAGGTAGACTAACTTTAGATATTATGTTAAATGGACTTTTTTGAACTTTATATGTGACCCATCACATCGAAACGAGGATTAAGTTTAAAAGTTGTATGTGGAGAAATAGGCATATATAGGGTTTTGATTAAAACACTTGCAAAAATGACATTTTGTCAAAACATAACAAAAAATGTGTTATCAATGTATCGTTTCAATGAACTGTCTGAAATGTTATCCTAAATAAATTTTGAGCAATAGCAAACAAAACCCCGATTTTGAGGAAAAACGCCTTAAAATGTTGATATTTTCACTGTAAGCTATCAAAGCTTTTGTTTCTTTCCAGCTGGGGAATCTCAATATTCAAATACTATTTGAGGTTTCTTTTTTAAAATGACATAAAAAATTCTCATTAAAATTACATAAAATTAGGATTTAGACTAAGATATTTATGTATTATTGTAACCAACAAGACAAATTAAATAATATATCTTGATCTACTAATGATATCAGGATGATCTAAGTGTTAAATGTAGCTTTTAAAACCAGGAACCTAAAAATATGATTGGGTCAATTTGACCAAATTTGACTTAATCCTCATTTCGATGTGATGGGTCACATATAGTCATTCCCTTATCAAAAACACACCAAGTGTGTTGCTTTAACTCATTCATGCATGTTTGAGAGATCCCGGAATCAACTGTAGCCATGTGGAGCTGCCTAAACATTTGCTGGTACAAAGCTCCGCCTATTTGCACAAAGCTCCTCCCTGGAGCTCAGTCTGCAGCCGAGCTCCCGCCCCACAGGGCACCCCTCCCCCACACAGCTCCACCAGAGTGAAACGCATTGTAAAAATTCAGTGCAAAACATKAGATGTAAAGGAGACGTTTTGAAAGATAATATCGTGTTCAGTTACTCAGWTTTGTGGAGAGGACAAGGGAACAAGTACAGAATTAAGACTTGAATGTTAAACGTAAGAACCAAAGCCATACACATACTCTGCGGCCGGGCCACAGCCTCAGACATTTATTCAGTTGTGGCTCTGGGGCGAGGCAGGAAGTTCCAGCTGCTCATATAGACTTTCTGACGGTTCCGGCCACTTCCTAGTGGCAAGCTGTCACATCGATTGGGTGTTCTTCCTACCATGTGACCAGAAACCCTCAGACAACAATCTTGAGTTCTGATGAGAGAAAACGTTATGTGTTGTAAGCGCTTCAGGCGTGTATTAACTTAATCTTATCAAAAGAGTACACTCTGTTTGAAGTGACTGTGACATAAGCCACTCAAAGCAGATTGTACATCACTAAATCACATAAAAATAGATTATTTTGCAAAATAATTTATCAGAACATATTCTATTTCACCTAAGAAAAAAGCAGTATGTATGGTGCTTTTAACAATCAGTAATAAACTGAATACATTTTCCTCTAACTATCATGCAAAATCCACTTTTTTAGCTGTTAAATACATTTTGTTGTCTCTCCTGGTGCCGCAAAGATATTTTTACAATCTGTTTGAGTCATATTTTTCAGCCCGCTCAGATTTCTCTATTTTCTCTTACATTTTTTGAGCTATTACGTCAAATTATCTGCAACGGAATTGATAAATTAGGTCTGGCCTTACCKACTACAATTATCTCGTCTTCATTCTTCTCTCACTCTCGGTCAGACTCTGGCTTCAACATGTAAGGCTGGATGGACAAGCCTTCCCTTGTTGACATATTTTAATTAAATTGTAAATAAAATGTTTTTGCAAGCTAGAAAATGCTAAACTCCTCTCTAAAGCATGAGTGGACCGGTCTGGAAGTCGGAGGGGGGCGGAGCTTGAATCTCAGTTAGTGTTAGTGTTAGTAATCCACCGGTGACAATAAATTATTCTCCTGTCTAACACCAAGTGTTTAATGTTTAAATGATTATAATGCTCAGTGTGACCTCATCAGGAGAAGTCTCTGTTACATGACACGACGTGAGCCACTCTCAGGTACTACCACCCCCCAATTCTGATCCAATATCTGGAAAAAGAACTCAGTTTTTCATTATTTATCATTCATGGAGCTTTTAGACCTGGTCCTTCATGGCCAGGTGTAGTTTTCAGACTTAGTCCTTTGAGGCCAGGTGTAGTTTTTAGACCTGGACTTTCAGGCCCAGATATAAAAACTACACCTGGACCTTTGGGCCCAGGTATAGTTTTTAGACCTGGTCCTTTGAGGTCAACTTTAATTTTTAGAACAGGATTTTCAGGGTCAGGTGTTGTTTGTAGACCTGGTCCTTCAGGGTCAGGTGTAATTAATGTAGATAGTTCTGTAATGAGGAGATGGGAGCAGGGATCCAAGTAAAGCTGTAGCTCAGGGGTGCCCAAAGTGTGGTCCGGGGGCCATTTGTGGACCCTGAGCTGATGTTTTGTGGCCCCTGAAGAATTATACTAATTTGTTTACAAATTTGTCCCCCCGGCACAGGTGTAGATGGAGACCTTCTATTTTTAAGTAAGACAAAATTATCACAGACAAAGTAAAATCTTCCAATAAAAAACACTGGCAACAATGCCAATTATGTGTCTTTAAATAACCAGGCTCTTCGCATTTTCCACATCTATCTAGTGACTTCTACTCAAAAGCTTATTTTGCTGCCCTCCAATTCACTTTTAATTAATTTATTAAATTTGTCTTTTCAACAAAAGAGCGACCTAAATCCTGATTTTATTGATCAGAATTGACTAAACTGGATTTTTATTCCCCAGTTGAAACCTAGAAAACTGCAAAATTTCTTTCAATAAGGGAAACCTGTAAAACACTTTTACAGTTCTGGATCTAGATTCATTTACACATCCATTTCCAGCAATAAATCTGACTACGTTATTTGTTTACAGCATCCAATGCTTGGTTTATTGCTGAGCAGGTAAATGAAAAATAGTTTTGGCCCTCAAGTCCTTCTGACTTTATGATTTTGGCCCATGTGACAAAATGTTTGGACACCCCTGCTGTAGCTGAACTACGGAGACCAAAGTGAGAAAGGTTTGAGACCAAAATAAATCTGGCTAGTTTGAGAGAATGATGGTTGCAGAAATGTTAGTAAAAATTCAAATTCAGAGAACAAGTCAGACTGACAGCAGAAAACTA